CATTTCAAATATAATTTCATGCCTAATGTAAAATAAAACTTATATTGAGTTTATACACACATTCATGCATGAAGGTTTTTCAAATACATGCATAGAAATCACAATTGTATGCAAGGCTTAATAACACAGGATGGTTATGCAATTCAAATTTAAATTTCACAATGGTGATTAATGCATGATATATTATGCAAATTAAATTGCATAAAAATGTTTGTTACTTGTGTATAGGTTTTCAAAATTACAATTTATTGGCATGCAATTAATTTTCGATCATTACATCCGTGAGAGTGTATAAAAAAAGGTATTGTGCATCTCATCTGGATATACTAACACCAAGGGAATCATCTCCCTCTCTCTAATCCTCTCATCGCCGGAAACATTTTTCGACATAGTTTCTGAGGAGTTGTCCTGTACAAATCCGGCAGCTATTCCCTTCGTCATTTAAATTTATGCTCATTTTTTTTCGTGTTGTCATAAAAAAAAAATTATTGTTTTCTTTAAAGTAAAAATCATTACACTTTTGTAATTTTTTTTACTATAAAAGGAAAAAGTAACAATTATTACTCACTTTTATTAAAATCCGTATCCGGTCAAATGAGTACACATTTGCATGACAGATGAAGTATTTCTTAAATATTAAGTCTCCCGACATAGCTCTGATCCCCTCATTTTAGTTCACTGGAGCTCCGAAATATTGGGGTGCCACCTAATTCGGAAACAAACGTCATTTTATCTTTGGGAATGTTACGCTACGAACCAGAGGCCCTACCGGGGCATTTTTTTTTATGACGTGGGAACCCGCAACCGCTACCTGAAAGTGCACACTGGGTAAACCCCCGGCCGAACCTAATACCCTACAAACTAGGCCCGACAGGCAAGTCACACTAAGTGAACCATGTATGGCAGGTGACCTAAGGCGTCGGGGGTTTGAACTCATGACCTCACGGTCACACATCCAACCCTCACACCACCAGGCCATCCCTTACGGGACCACTACCGGGGCGTATTTTTTTTTACGGAGAGAGGTTCTACCTCGACTCACCATGATTATCGAATTTATTGTTCAATAAAACTATTGAGATTATCGAATTTATTTCGATAAAATTATTGAAAAATATGATACTATGAAAGAATCACAACTATGACATTGACGACTTGATCATGTCAACTATCGAAGCCTCAAAGCCTTGTCCAATCAAAATGTGCGAAAGTTGTATGATAACAAAGCAATATTGACAATATTTTCTTGAACGGCGTAGCTTGAAGAGCCAAAGAAAAGTTAGAGCTTGTCACACTGATGTTTGTAGAAATAGATACTTCGTACTTTTCATTGATGATTATTCATTCCTGATATGGGTTTATTTCATGAGTTAAAAGTCAGAGGTGTTCATTATATCAAAAAAAAAAATAAAATTCAATAGCCTTATTGAGAAGCAAAGTGGATGCACCATCAAAAGCTTAAGGAACAATAGAGAAAATTGGAAAGTAATACAGATTGACAAAATCTATGAATTTTTGTGAGGGTGAAGGAATTGTGCGACAACTAATAGGTGGATAAACTCCTCAAAAAAATAGTATAACCGAAAGAAAGAACCAAATGATTATGGAAATAACGAAGTCAATGCTTCATGAGAAAAGAGTTCTCAAGTCTTTTTGGGCTAAAGCCGTTTATACTGCAATATACCTTTCCAAACAGTGCCGAAAGTGAAGAAAGTAGAATTCGACGAATCAAATAAGCGATGCAATTTTGTTTTGAATATAGCTTGATGAACAAAGGATATTGAATATTTTGCCTAAAAAAAAAAAAAAAAACCGTGTCGCTATCACTTGGAACATCTAAATAGATGAAATTGTTTTATGAAATTAGAAGAAAGTAAGATTAAAAAAAAAAAAAATATCACAGTGAATATCGTTCCGACTAAAGAAGAAGTCGAAAATGAAAAAAAAATAAGACCAATTCATCAAGTCCTACCTCGTCAAACACCTCAAGTCCAGAGTCCAAAAAGGTACAAATTATTAAATGATAATAATGTTTCGGTACAAATTATTAAATGATAATAATGTTTCTTGCAATTACTATGCAGTTGAACCCGAACTTTGAAAAAATCATAAAACAAATATGAAAATGGATATACAAGATAAGCATAATGTTGATGAATCCATTCAAACAAACTCACCGATGGAAAGAACAAATTTGAAGTAATATGTACTTTCTTCCAAATAAAAAAATAAAAAATCAAATTACAAAGATTTTAAGAAGTTACTCGCATAATCTTTCAATCTTTATTTATTCCACTTCAACAAATAAAATATATAAGTACAATCACTATTGACGTATGTTTAAAAATAGTTTTGTAGTAAAATATGTTTTTCAACGTAAGAAAAATATAATTTTTATTTTAAAAGTACATTTTGTCTCGGTCCATAATTGCTATATAAAGATAAAATTTTCATACATTAAAAAATAAAATAAAATAAAATTATCTTGAGAATTTCATACAAACTTGAGAATTTTTCGAACTTTATACACATCAGTATTAACAACCTATAATTCATCTTACATAATCAAATTCAAGATATCTGCACAAAAACGAACATAAAAGAGATCACTATTTCAAATCCATGTTTCTTATCATCTACATAAACTAAACACTAATCAATCAACTGACAGTTAATAAATAAAAAGAACTGCCCATTTTAGTAATTGTTTGTCATTAAAATAGTGAATAAAAATATTAAATTAAAAAGTATTAGTAAATTTAATATTATGTACAATTATGAAAAAAAAGTAATTGAATAGGTTGGCAAGGGACAAAGGATGTATATAATACTCCTTTCGTTCCATATGAATATACTATTTGAGTTTTGTAGTAAATTTAAAAATAATAGTAGTATTTTATAGATTAGTAAAAGTGTATAAAATAATTTTAATATTTGATGTGTTTATTACATTTATCAAGAACCCGTTACCTTAAAAATATATTATTCATACAAATTTTAAATTTAACAGAAATTATCTATAAAGATATGTTTCGATTTATTTCAAATAATTTCAATATTTAAAATAGTAAATCATACATTTTAATATATTAAAATTTATTTAGATTAATATTTAAAAGTTAAAATATAATATTATATAAAAATTTTACTCCCTTTATCCCAAAACAATAGAGACATTTGAGGTTAACACATAAATTAACGAATAATAATACTATAGTTGTTGTAAAAATATTTCTAAAAAACCAAATAGTTTTACTTTATATAATTATTGTGGAAAAAGTGAGGATAATTTTGTAAAAATGTGGGGAATTAATTACCAAAAATAGAAATGAGACTATTGTTTTGGAACCGATAGACATAACAAAATTGGACTATTTTTTTAAAACGGAAGGAATATTAGACAATAAAAATATATAAAAATAAATAAATTATTGTAAATCTTATAAAATAATAAAAGTAATATGTTGAAGGTAATTACTATGGATGATAAAAATAATAATTTAAATATTGAGATAAATATGACGTAAATAAAAGTGATAAAAAATAATGAAGTAGAGATACAAATACTCTTATATATTTATAACACGCAAAAAAAGAAAAAAAAATATTTCTTCCGTCTCATATTTATATATTCATTTATTTTTTGCATAAAATTTTAGAAATATTAGTATTATATTGGGATAAATTAGAAATAAAGGTAAAAAAACTAAATTAACCCGATTAGTATTGTATGATATAAAGGTAATGACATTTGTCTAATATATTGTCAATTGGGAGGATACTTGTAATGTTAGATAGATAGTACAATTACTAAAAAAGAAAATGAATATTTTATTATGAGATAAATTAAAATGATAAAATAGATAGATTGTTAAGGTACGAAACGCCTAAAACTACTTTTAAGATTGGGTATTTGTGTGACATCTGACGTGGTATCAATACATTGGTATGTGGCAGTTACACTCCCAACGTATGTATGCTGTAGTAATAAAATTGAGGTCCGAAAACAAAGGTCGCATAAATTCTGGACAAACCCTTCCTTGATTTTACAAACACCACCGAAAGTTTACAAGTTGGGTGCTACCGTGTCACCCTCCTATTGGCTAATTCCCCACACGAGCCATTCAGCAATTTCATAACTCCAAAATTTATCCACATTAATTATTATATTTTTCGTTCAACCACAAATTATATATATTTTTATTTTAGAATGTCCAAATATAAAATAATTATTTTATTAAATATTTTATTTTTTTTTATAAATATTATTATTTTATATTATATTATTATTTTTATATCAAAAGAATAAAAATGTCATTATACTATTTTTATCTACACACTATAACTAAAATATTATTATTCAAAAGTAAATACTCCTCCGTCTCAATAGAATTGTCTTGTTTTTCATTTTCGTCTATCCCAAAACAATTGTCTTATTCCCCCATATAGTAATCGTAATCTCCCCCTTATAATAAAATTATTTATATTTTTTCAAATTATCAATAATTATTATTTTAATTTAAATTTTAAAATTATTTTAAAAATAAAATATTTTAGTATTTTATTTTTTACTTTATATCCTCTTTTAATTAAATATTATTATTTTTTAATTCTCAATGACATATATTTTCTTTGGATGGAAAGACTGCATACTTCTTAGGAAAGAGTATTACATAGGATTTTTAAAAGTGTAATTCCAAATATACCCCCAAGAGCACAACCCACAGCCCACAGCAGCGTCCCAATCATTCACTAGTCTTCACCCCCACGCCCGACGGTACCACTCGTGCCACCGCTTTCATTTTCACCGGACCCCGCATTTGTCAAACGCTCCGGGCCTCCAACACCAGATAGATCCGCGCCATCCATGCTGCAGAAATAAACGGTCCGGATCAACCAGGCGTCGCGAGCCAAAACCCACCACGTACACACATTTCCACCCTTAACATATATAACCAGACAGTCCTCACAATTTACATGCATCTCTCTCTCTACATATATATATATAGAAATCCCCAATTAATTTTAAGAAATTTCTCGATTCAATTACCTTATAACGACGTCGTTTATGGCGCTCCGGACCGGAATTCCAGGCCAATTTGTGGCCGCCGCCGTGCTGGTAATCCTCTCCACGGCGGCGGATCCCGCCGACGAGCGGTGCTTGACTCACCTGAGCCAATCCTTGGAAGATCCTCAGAAGAACCTCCGGAACTGGACTAAATCAGCTCTCGCCAATCCCTGCCATGGATTCGATTCTCTCCTCGCCGGAATCACCTGCAACAATGGCCGGATTTTCCGGCTGTCGCTGCCGAGCCTCTCCCTGAAAGGCACAATCTCGCCGTTCATCTCCAATTGCACAAATTTGCAAACCCTAGATCTCTCCTCCAACTCAATCTCCGGCGCCATCCCGCCGGATCTGCAGTACCTGGTCAACCTGGCCGTGCTGAATCTCTCCGGAAACCGCCTCGCCGGAGAAATCCCCGGGCAGCTGGGGCAGTGCGGGTATCTGAACGTAATCGATCTCCACCGGAACCGGCTCTCCGGCGGGATTCCGCAGCAGCTGGGGATGCTGGGGCGACTCTCGGTGTTCGACGTGTCGGAGAACCGGCTTTCCGGGTTGATACCCGGTTCGCTGGGGAACCGGAGCCGGTTCAACGCGAGCTCGTACGAAGGGAATAAGAAGCTGTACGGGTACCCGCTGGGCCCGATTAAGAGCAAAGGGCTGTCGATTGTGGCGATTGTGGGAATCGGGCTGGGCAGCGGGCTGGGCAGCCTCGTCATCAGTTTTACTGCGGTCTGTGTTTGGTTAAGAATTAGTGACCGCAAAATGGAAACATATGACAACAAGAATAACCATTCCATGCCTCACTATTAATTAATTAAGCCTAGTCCTATTTTATTTTATTTTTTTGTGGGGAAAATTATATTGATTGGTGTTTATTAGAAGTTGCTTTTTTGACCCATCAACCTTTTTATTTTCCCTTTTATTTTATTTTAGTTAGGTAGAATTGTGTATACGATTTATTGTGTGATTGTGATTGTGATTGCCTCATGTGTAGCTATGAAATAAGCCCATTTTATCTTCGTTAAAACTTAATTCTCAAAAATTTTAAAAAATAAAATAACTTATTTCAAATTATAGTACTAATCCATTTCCAATCAATTACTTTATTTTTACAGTAACTACACTGAAAATATAATTAATTTACAGTAATTTTACTTCAATCATAAATTTCAATTTTCACTCTAAAGTATATTCTCTATATATTTCCCATTTATATTATTTTATATAACTTTTTATATTTATAAATTACACTCTAACTTTAATTTATTTTTACAATATAACCCAAACATATATAATTACACATAATTTATAAAAAATATATAATTATATATCACTTTTTGAAATTTAAAATTATATACCACTTTTAAAAATAAAACAATACAATATTTTAAAAAAATATAAATATATCACTTTCCAAAAAATAAAATTATATATTATTTTTCAAAAAAATAAATTACATATCATTTTTTAAAAATAAAATAAAATTATACAATATACCCAAAAGATAACAAAAATACACAACATACTAATATAAATTATATGTTATCTGAATTCTTATCGGTTCTATTTGAAAAATTAGTACGGGTGTTGATTTTATCCAAACAGCAACGCTACCGAACCAGTTGAATTTGTATTGTGTTAATACAAACCTTATATTGTTGATTTGTGGTCTATGAACTATCTGTTGAAGTGTTTTGAAATTTATATTTATTTAAAAATAGTAAAAGAATTATAAAGAATATATATATATATACATATATTAAATTTATTTCAAACATAATCCCAATATTTTGAATTATAATCTAAAATATTATCCCAATAATTGTGGCCTAGTATCCAATTATAACAAATTCGTTATTAAATATTATTCCTATCTGTTAGCCAAATCTACAATGGATGAATTTATTTATGTATAAAATCAATAAGTTACTAGATCTACTCTACATTCAGAAAAATACACCATCGAGTTCATAAAGTGAGACTTTGGAATAAGAAGTAAAGCGCACGTCGATTTATGTTATGCAAATAATCCAATTTTTTTATTTTTTATTTTTTATTTTTTTTTATCAAAATCATACTCCCTCCGTCCTAGATAATATGAGTTTATTACTATAAATACGAGAATTTAGGTAAAATATAATTAATAAGTAATTAAGAAGTGTATTAGTAAAAACAATTATTATATAATAAAAATAATTATAGATTAAAATTAAGATAACTAAATAGTTTAACTAATATTTAAAAAATTTTAAAAGTTAAATTTTAAAATATGATTATAATGTATGTTGGAACAATATTTTTTCTCCAACTTTTTTTGGCATATGGTTCTTCTTGCTTTTCCCCTGCTGCCTTTCTTTGTTTCCATTCAGGTTACTACAACAGACTGCCTGCAACTCTGATGGTCTACTCTTCTCGATTTGGGAAGCTTAGAAGAGACAAAAAAAATAAATTTCTGGGTGGTCAACCTTTGACAGAGTTCATGCAGGAATACATCATTCCATTTTCGTGCAAAGGGTTTTAATTTAGTTTGTCCTGTATGCTTTGTTTGGCTGCTTCTTGGTTAGTTATGTGGGAAGTGTTGTGGTTGCTGTATGGTTTCAGAGAGAGAACTATTGTAAGAGAAAGTAAGAAAAATCCTCTCAACCTAAACCCTTCCCTTCTTCATGCATTGAAAGAGTGCTTGTCACATTTACTTGCCGGAGACATCGTCGGAGGAAGAAGAGATTGGAAATCCGATCAGGAGATTCGTCCAAAGTCTGAGCAACCCTGCTATCTGCTAGTTGTCAGTACGAGTTCGTGACAACTTATACCTGTGGAGGGATTTTCCTAGGTGATTTGCATTATAGTATGGGATAAAGGAGTTTTGGGCTGTTTAGTTCATAATCAACCTTGATTAGTGAACTTCTCCTGGATTGGAATCCCCCGGATGTAGGTTGGTTATAACCGAACCGGGTTACCAAATATCTTGTCTTTTATTGCTTTGGATATTGTCCTTATTTCGTTGACAAGATGATGTTATAACTGTGATTTTACCACGCTTCGGGAGTTGGCCCATTTGGAAAAGTGTACAAGAATTTATTGGGGTTGCACTTATTCCATCCCAACATTTGGTATCAGAGCGGTGTTCTCTAAGTTGCTGAGTAGATTCTTTCACAGTTGCAAAGATGAGTAAGGAAGGTCGATCTACATCGAGACCTCCATTGTTTGATGGAACAAGTTATCGAAGTTGGAAAAACAAGATGGAAGCTTTTTTGATGCTACAAGGTGAAGATGTTTCTGAAGCTGTTGAGTCTGCATGGTCTCATCCCATGAAGACCATCCAAGATGAAGATAATATCATATCTCTTGTGAAGAAACCGAAAAGAGAATGGACTCTCAATGAAAAGTCGGCTGCAATCGCCAACTCGAAAGCCCTTTTCTCGATTTTTAATGCTGTAGATGAAACTCAAGCGAAGCTGATATCCAACTGCAAAGTTGCTAAGGAAGCATGGGACATCCTGGAAAATGCATTCGAAGGGTCTGTACAAGTTCGAGAATCAAAGCTGGATCATGTTGAAACCTTGTTTGAAGGACTGAAGATGAATGAAGATGAAACGATTGCTGATTATCATAACCGATTCATGGATGTTGTGAATCAAGCTGAAGCTCTTGGAATGCACTTCGAAGAAAAGAGACTGGTGAGGAAAATGCTTAAAAGTCTCAAAAAAATTTCAGACCGAAAGTGATTATGTCGATGAACCACCAAAGCTGAGAAATATGACATTGGATGAACTGTATGGTACGTTGGTGAGCTATGAAATGAACTATATCGAAGATGAAGCACCCAAAAGCATGGCTCTAAATGCTGAAGACTTGAAGATGATAGAGTCTGATGAAGAAATGGCACTGCTGAGCCGTAAACTTTCACGAATGATTAGTGAGAAACGAGCTGCCAAGCTGAAGTTTGGGAAGTTTCAGAACAGAAATAGCTATCAGGGAGGAGGAACATCCAGTTCTCAACGAAAACACCCTGAGCAGAAACCAACTACATACAACAAGCCAAAAGAAAGATTCGATGGTGAATTTAAGAAGAAGTTTGTGGTGTCTGCAAAACCAGAGACGGTTCAAGAACCTACCTGTTATGGATGTGGTGGAGTCGGACATATTAAATCAGAGTGTCCAACAGTAAAGAAGAGGGAAAAGAGAGTTTATCAAGCCACATGGAGTGACAATGAAGATGGTGAATCTGCTGGAGGTGAGGAACAGACAGAAAGTGATGAAGTGGTGGCATTTATGGCAAATGCTGGTGAAAACAGTAAAAGAAATGAGGAATCCAACCCTAAAGCTGCGGATGAGTCAAGGGAACTTGATGCTGAAGAGTTGATCGAAGCCTATGAGGAAATGGTAATCGAATAGAAGAAAGCTGTGGTGAAGAACAAGGAGATGCTGGAAACAATTTATCGTTTGGAAGATCAAAAAGAAAAACTTGAGGATGAACTTGAAAAACTGAGGAAGATTGCTGATGATAAATCTGCTGAATCACAGAAGTTGAAGTCAGAGAATTTGAAGTTGAAGGATGAAAATGATAGACTTCGGAAAGGAAAAGAAAAATTAGATGAAGTCCTTTCGATTGGTAAACCATTTGGTGATCACAAAGGATTGGGATTCTGTGGATCTTCTCAAAGTAAACCAACTACATTTGTGCGTGGTGGTTTGTTAACTGATGTCAAACTTCCAGAGAAGAATTCAGTATCTGTAAGGAAACAGAATCCAAAGAAGAGCAAAAACAGAAATTGGAACAGATATCGCAGAAGAACTCAGAATGACAGATCGTCGTTATTACAGCCTACTGACTGCAAGTACTGCCTGTATCCTGGTCATTCAGCTGAGAAGTGTTTCAAACTGGCAAAGGATGTTATCAATGGGAAACACATTCAATGGCCTACAGAAGGTCTGAAACATAACATCAAAGTCAAATTGGTGTGGATGCCTAAGGAAAGTCTGAAACAGGTGGAATGCAATGTGATTCTGTCAAGTCAAGAGTCTACCAGGGTAGATCGATGGTACTTTGATAGTGGTTGCTCGCGACATATGACTAATCAAAAAGAACTTCTGAAAAATTATGTTGAAGACCGAAGTGGAGATGTTATCTTTGGTGATGGTGCAAAAGGAAAAATCAATGGATATGGCGCTCTTGAAAAAGTAGGGATTCCAAAGTTGTCGAAAGTCTACTATGTTGAAGGACTGAGTACAAACTTGATCAGCATTAGTCAACTTTGTGATGATGACTTACATGTGAAGTTCACGAAAAATTCTTGTGAAGTATATGATACTGAACAAAAATGTGTGATGACTGGAGTTCGATCAAAGAACAATTGTTACTTGCTGGAATATCCTCAAATGGAAGCATTGATATTGAAAGATGATGAATCTATGCTGTGGCACACCAGATTGGGTCATGTCAATCCACAGAATCTATTGAGGATTAGCAAAATTGGAGCTATCAGAGGATTACCCAAATTTTCAAAGATCCCGATTACTACGTGTGGTGACTGTGCGAGAGGAAAACAGAAGAGAGCTGTACATTCCTCACTGGAACAACGTTTCAGCAGCAACTGTCTGGAGCTGCTGCATATGGATCTCATGGGTCCAGTCGATGTCTGCAGTCTTGGAGGTAAGAAGTATATCCTGGTTTGTGTTGATGACTTTTCAAGATATACATGGGTAGATTTCCTACGTGAGAAAAGTGATGCCTTTAATGCCTTTGAAAAATTGAGTACAAGGCTTATGAATGAGAAGAAATCAAAGATTGACAGGTTGAGAACTGATCATGGAAAGGAGTTTGAGAATCGGAGGTTTGCTGAATTCTGCAATGGATTGGGAATTAAGCATGAATTTTCTGCCCCAAAGACTCTACAACAAAACGGAGTGGTGGAAAGAAAGAATCGAACCCTACAGGAAATGGCTAGGTCAATTATGCATGCCAAGGGAGTTGCCAAATATTTGTGGGCTGAAGCTATTAACACAGCTTGCTAT